AGCAATGTCCACAATAGCCAAACTATGGAAAGAGCCAAGATGTCCATCGACAGATGAATGGATAAAGAAGATGTGGTGTGTACACACACACACACACACACACACAATGGAATATAATGCAGCCATCAAAAAAATGAAATCTTGCCATTTGCAATGACATGGATGGAACCAGAGGGTATTATGCTACGTGAAATAAGTCAGTCAGAGAAAGACAATTATCATATAATCTCCCTGATATGAGGAATTTGAGAAACAAGACAGAGTATCACAGGGGAAGGGAGAAAAAAATGAAACAAGATGAAACCAGAGAGGGAGACAAATCATAAGAGACTCTTAATCTCAGGAAACAAACTGATGGTTGCTGGAGTAGTCAGGGGTGGGAGGGATGGGGGGCTGGGTGACAGACATTGGGGAGGTTATGTGCTATGGTGAGGGCTGTGAATTGTGTAAGACCGATGAATCACAGACTTGTACCTCTGAAACAAATAATACATTATATGATAAAAAAAAAAAAAGGAGATAGTAGGAAGGGAAAAATGAAGGGAGGCAAATCGGAGGGGGAGACGAACCATGAGAGACTATGGACTCTGAGAAACAAACTGAGGGTTTTAGAGGGGAGGAGGTGGGGGGATGGGTTAGCCTGGTGATGGGTATTCGGGAGGGCACATATTGAATGGAGCACTGGGTATTACACGCAAACAATGAATCATGGAACACTACATCAAAAACTAATGATATAATGAATAGTGACTAACATAATAAAATTAAATTAAAAAAAAGAGGTCCTAGCAACAGCAATCAGACAACAAAAAGGAAAAAAAGGTATTCAAATTGGCAAAGAAGAAGTCAAACTCTCTCTCTTTGCAGATGACATGATACTTTATGTGAAAATCCAGAAGACTCCACCTCCAAATTACTAGAACTCATACAGCAATTCAGTAATGTGGCAGGATACAAAATCAACGCACAGAAATCATTTGCTTTCTTATACACTAACAACTCAACTGTAGAAAGAGAAATTAGAGAAACAATTCCATTTACAAAGCACCAAAAACCACAACCTCAGAATAAACTTAACCAAAGAGGTAAAGGATCTATACTCTAGGAACTACAGAACACTCATGAAAGAAATTGAAGATGACACAAAAAGATGGAAAAACATCCCATGCTCATGGATCAGAAGAATAAACACTGTTAAAATGTCTATGCTACCCAGAACAATCTATACCTTCAGTGCCATCCCGATCAAAAATCCAATGACTGTTTCAAAGCGCTGGAACAAACAATCCTAAAATTTGTATGGAATCAGAAAAGACCCCAAATTGCCAAGGAAATGTTGAAAAAGAAAAATAAAGCTGGGGGCATCATGTTGCCTGATTTCAAGCTATATTTCAAAGCAGTGATCACCAAGACAGCAGGGTACTGGCACAAAAACAGACATATAGACCAATGGAACAGAATACAGAGCCCAGATATGGACCCTCAACTCTTTGG